ATATATATATATATTCTATATATAAACAGAATATAAAGCTAAACCAAACGATGAGCTCCCAGTAGAGGGATCCAAGGAGGATACAGTGCTTTAATGAAAATATTAAGTAAGTGTAAAACGATAAAACATGAAGCAAACTTCTAACTGTTCCAGCTTTAATGTGGCGACGTTTCGGCCTTCGGCCTTCTTCAGATGGAATGTATTTAAATAAAAACTAAAAGTCCTAGTAGGTTTCCAGAATGACCTGAATTTATACCAAACGTAAGAAATATAAATAGTATTGCGTAATGCATTCCAGACCTAAATAATAGGATGTAATAATGAGTAAAAGGCAAGAATGTGCAAGGGGCGAAATAACCACCATTGGTTGCGAAGAACTCAATTACATTGTGTAAATGATGCCCTAATTACGTATTATAGCGGACGCGATTTTTGGATCTGAATTCGCGTCTTTTGTTAAGTCCATGGGGACTAAGGATACAAAGTTGTGCGGTCCAGTAGGCCTCTCTCGTAAGTAATAATCTATCAATATAAGCTGCGTCCCCTTGGCTGGTAATTTTCTCAATAACAATAAAATTATTGTTATTATTATTCTATAAATATATATATATACTTTGTTAGTTTGTACATGCATCGTAGGCATTGGCTAAATTACGTACAATAACTGTGTAGCTAAAATGTACTATAAACTACTGGAAATAAAATGTTCTATAAAATACAACCTAAAATACATTCTTATTATTGTTAATTAAATTACACTGAAAGTTAATAAAACTGCTCTTGGTGCGGTTGGTTTTGTAACTAATATCAAACACTCGGCTTTGCCTTAAATTGTATTTAGGGGAATGTCTTGGGGGAAGCAGGTGGTGTAGTTTATGTTCTTTGTCGTGTAGGATTTTATAAAAAAAAAGTGAATTGCATATAAAACTGTGATGATCAAAAAGTGAATCCAAGTCTAAAAATGCTAACGATTCGTTGTAACTTAAGTGAGGAAAAGTAATAGATACAGCTCTTTTCCGAACTCGTTCTAAGTCATTAATTAGATAACTAGGCAGAGATGAATGAAAAACCGGTACAGCTTAGTCACAGACGGATCTAATACAACATGTGTAGAATCTTACTAAGTCAGATGTAGGGACCCTAGCACGTTTAAGCTGTCTAAGAAAATAAAACTGTTTAGACGCTTTCTTGATAGTTTCGCTAATGTCTAAGTTCCAAGAAATATTATTTGTAATAGTCACTCCAAGTAGTTTTGCATTCTGAACAATTTCTAGTTCATGGCCTTTAATGAATAAAGGTGGTAGATCAGCATTGTTCTTAGAGAATGATGATATACGAAGTTCCTTACACTTGTCGGTGTTCAGTTGGAATCGGTTGTCTACGGACCAGTCCGCCACAGAATTGACATATTCTTAAGCGTTACTTGACTGGCCTTTGGGAATGATTTCGGAAACTGTTGTGTCATCTACGTACTTCCATAATGATGAGTCGATAATGGACAAGTCATTGATCATGATGAAGAAGAGCCATAGGCCCAGTTTGGTACCCAGAGGAGCACCAGATACAGATACATACATATTCAGATACACATCCTTCGCCAAGTTTTTTTCTTTGGTGACGGTTGGTAAGAAAATCGATGATCCAATTAATGATGGAGTGCGACAAGATCAAAGTACTTAGCTTAGCGGTAAGGATCTTGTGATCGATCAGGTCGAAGGCTTTCCTGTAATCAAATAAGATAGTCCTAACGGAGCCGTTGCCATCTGTAACATTCGTCCAGCAATGAAACATTTCCAGGAAAGCTAGGGTCGTAGAGGATTTCGGTTGTTATGGGAAAATTTAGTGATTTTACCCTGTGGATGTTTACGCAATTTATTTGTTGTTTTCAGAATTTTAAGCGTTCTCAATTCATGCGAGTTTCTTTCATAGCGATGTTTTAAAATGATAAAAAAGCCACTAGTAAAATTTGAATAGCCCAGTTGAGTTGTACAGCTGCAACTCGGTACTTTGTTGTCCAATTCTAGTGAAAATTTAGGTAAATATACTGGCACAAGTCAACGATCAAGCATCAAACGACAAAGAGTCTTTCACCACCTGGGCCCTATAATTCCATTCGGTACAAATTTTATAGAAACAATGTCAATCGCAAACGTTAACTCTGCGAATCAAAGTTCTGCAAATCCAAGATCCCACATCTCAAAGATAAAGATCCTAAAAGATGGTGGAACGAATTTAAGTGGTTGAGTGGCTCACTCTTACGCTCAGGCGACCTACGTAACAGCATCAACATACCTGAACTTAACGATCTACTTCCGGAAGACCTTGCAAATTCTCTCAACTGCGCATTCCTAGAACCCTTAGAAGAATACCAGATAGATGACCCTTTTGTGCCACTACCCTTGGAGGACCCACCCGAATTCCTGGAAATTGCTGAACATCAGGTTTACCAATTGTTGTGCAAGCTGGATTCAACTAAAGCCTGTGACCCTGATGGTATCCCTAACTGGTTTTTGAAGGAATACGCAGTGTTTCTCGCGTATCCTATCACTGAAATCTTAAATGCCTCCTTAAGGAACAACGCTTACCCAGCATGTCGATACTTGCCGATGTCACACCAATCCCTAAAAGGAAACCCGTTAAAGACGTAAAGAAGGATTTAAGACCTATTTCCCTTATACCATGTCTTTCTAAACTGGCTGAGGATTTATTCGTTACTAATTATGTCAAGCACGCCGCCTTACGAATTCTAGACGATCGCCAATACGGTGCTCTACCGTGTGACGATAGGATTTCGCACCCAAAATGGGAAACTGAACCTTCGCGGATGGCACAACATGTAATTGGGAGGGGAGGGGGGGGAATAACTCGGTAGAGGCCACTTGGCAGCGAGAACGGAAACTCGTCACGATTTCCTGGTACACGGAGGTCTACTTCGAGCGAGCTTGTACGGACGTCAAGGATGGGACAGCATTTGATTCCACAGTAAACTTTATTCTAAGTCCGGCCAACAAGTGACATGACCTCTAGCGTACACAGGCTTGTAATCACGGATGTAATCAACAAAACTGTACAAGGTAGTTGCCTATAAGCCAACTGGTGTGAAGCGCTTTTGTTATCCAAATCAACCATATTAAACATCGGAACAAAAGAAGCGGTAAAGATCTCTTTGACGTTAAACGAAAACTAATAAATATTCCCATCTGTTTCTGCGACGAAAAGAATTTCAAATTAAAAGGACGGATGCAATCAACACGAGGTCATTAAAAATAGGAAACTTAGGTGAGAATTCACAGCTCTGGCATAGAAAATATACTTATCTTAATTGCAATAGCGCAGCTTAGGAAATAAGAGTGGAAAAGTAATTAAAAGTTTCTGTTTATCTGTGCATGGTTGGTGTGGAAACTATCGTATGAAAGGAAATTAAAATTACGAGTTTAACTCAGCTGCCAACTACCATGAGAACCAATTTTTTCCAGAAAGACCATTAACACAGTATACTGAGTTAAATTCGAAGTCTTGGCTCTGGTTTTCTGGTGTGCAAGTACAGTTGCATGGTCGGAAAAGCCAAATGGTGGAAAAATGGCTGGTAAAATTGTAAAATTCCTGGAGATTTGTAATGATCAAGTCAAGTGTAGCGTTATTTCTTGTAGGTGCCTTGACAATTTGTTTCAACCGGAAGTGGTTTTTCAGGCTGTTAGTGTTGAAGTGATTGAAATCACCACAAATGGTAAGAGCGCAACTAGGAAATCGGGCCTTCCCCATGGTTAAAGAGTCAAACAGACATTCTCGTAGACTATTGTCATTCGCAGAGGATTGCCTGGGATGGTAAACCACCGCCAGAACAACGCAGGGAAAACCTCTGGGGAGACATTTAGGCTTTAGGTGAACCCACAAAATTTCGTGTTGGTCACAACATTTAATGTTGTATTGGAGATGTCTTCTTATCATACCAAGTAATGATTTTGTACCATCTGAAACGTTGGGAACGCTAACTGACTGGACAGGTGCCAACTTTTCCACAAGCATTTGTAACTTGGCCGGCCACCACCTTGGTATATTAGGGACCTTCAGCAAACCACGACGGCGATGGCAACGAGGACGCGGAAAAACAAAAGATCTAATTGGAAGAACAATAGCTCAGCACGTGCGTCATAAAACTTAGTACATTTCCTAGCCGTTCTTTGCAAAACAACAACGTAAAATCACCAAACTTTGCGTCCAGTCTTTAAACCAAAACCGTGATGGCAAATTATTTTAATTTCCATTTAGAACTCAACGCTACTTTTATACGCTATGTTGAGGTTGAGTTGAGGCGCCGTATGCGATGGTAAATGCATGCAGCCATTTTGGAAATTCTGATTAAAAGTAAAAATTCATTTTTTAATCGACGTCTTCCTCGGCGTTGCCGTCCTGACTGTTTAAGGTCCCTATTATCGCGTTGTCGACGAGGCATTAATAATACCTGTCCACTGTTTTGTCGCAAGGGCTTCTCTAGGTCTGTTATGTATTACTCCATTTCGAATGCGATTTTTCAGCCGGAGCTGTTAATCATTTACGGTGATGTTAATGTAAATCCAGGACCTGGGAGTAAAC